AATTGTGGAGAAGTCATAACCTTTCTACAGTTATGAGCTTTTGATAGGAATTTTGTATCATATAACTCTAATGCCTTTGCAGATGTCATGCCATAATTAACGACCATATCCTGGTAGGAAAATGAAGTTAAATCATTGAACACTAATCTTACTTAATAAACAACCAACCCTGTGTAAACTGAATTAGAATTACAAAGCAAAAGCAACACTTACCTGCAATTCCGTAGGCAGAAAACACACTCCTCTTCCACGACCAGTATCTCTTTTAACTTCGTCCAAGGTCAAGTGGCATGCTAACGCTGTAATTACCTAAAACACAATAGAAATAAAATCCAATGATTAAAAATCGTTAAGCACGTTCAGGTCAACTAGGGGCGTTTCGCAGAAGTACTTACATCAGCATCAACGCTTGACTCGGGGCATAAGCTCCATAATGTCTGCCTGGTATATGATTTCATCATTGATTTGACCAAAGCTTCATCAGGAGGAAGGTCTTCTGCAAATATATAGTGAGCAAAACTCACTTCTTCGTCACTGTAGTTGACGGCTGTGGCGAGCTCAAACCTTGTGGTACCCTTCAATCATGGAGAACGAACAAATAGAGGAAATAAGAAGAGGTTTTCTTGAGTTTTAGGTTTTACATTTTAAATGAAAATATATAATTAATTAAAGAAGAAATAGAAGTCAAGTGGCGGAGAAAGGAACGAAGGAAAACAACGAAAATAGTGGGCGAAAAGGAAGCATATGTACATCACTAGGATTACATACCTTCATTGACAATTTTTGTGGAGGCGTGAGGGGTTTGTTTTGCACACCTAGCTCATAATGGTCCAGCCCTGGTTCAGCATCAAGAACAATCACCTTCGAGTCGGGTGTAGGTGGGGGGATGACGTCTTGCATTCTTGTTTTCTTTGCAGGAGATACATAGTTCTCCAATTCCTACAATAATGAACAATCAAGTCAGAATAAGTTTTGTATAAATAACCTACTTTTAAAGCTCCTGGACGAACAATAGACTTGGCTAGAGAACGCGTTAGGCGTACAGTAGACTGGCCGCTCGTCATCTTGTTCTTCTCCCTAATATAATTGTACAAAAAGCAACGAGAGAGTGGAATATAAGAACAAATACAACGAAATAGCTTACTAAAAAGATGAAGAAAACACATTAGCGGATTGCAGAACTTACCCTTCCTTCCCCATAATGTTACAGACACAATGCTGACCAAGGGCCTCTGCGCTACTTTTAGTTGAATGAGTTTTGGGCAAGATGTTTGGCCATATTAATAGATGCGCCAGAGGGGTGTTTAACCTCGTGTATTAGGAAAATCTGTGAGATATCAATTAGAGTTTTTTTATATGTGGGAACTTCTATATTTATCCACCTCATTAAATGAACTTAATAAGGAATTAACTAGTTATGTGTGAACTTCTATATTTATCCACCTCATTAAACCGATTAGGGGCTTCATTTTAGGGTTTTAAGGTTCGAAAAGACAAGACCACGAAAGCAGATGAAAGAAGGGAAGAAGACGATGCCAGTTTAACCTCCCTTGGTTGGTTGTGGCTCCGCCAGTTTATGAATTCACGTTTGGCCCATTTTCAACCAATCAATTAAGAGTGATCTAGGCTTCCCGCGGCAGAGCACCAAAGCTCTGTTTCTTTCTTCGTTCCAAAATCGGAAAACAGAGTAAGCAGTGAAACCCAGAAATATAAACACAAGAACGGAGTATGAATAAGAACACAAGGCAGTAGCGGAAATGTAAATGAACACAGGAAATATAAAAATGAAAAACGAAGACAAAGACTCAAACTCAAGAACAAAGAAGAAATCCCGGATCCACATCCTCAACCTCCTGTACAAATAATAACTTCTTACAATGCAATGAGAAAACATCCAAATGGCCAAAGAGTTTCCCATCTATACATGGCAAACTCACAAACATGATTGAATGTTGGGAAACTCTTTAGCCACTTGGAGTTCTCCTCATTACCGTAACTTGATGCAAATAAGGTTGGAGGAAGAACTTTAAGGAATTTCAAGTTTCATTTGCTGCTTCCATGATTTTGAAGGAAGAGGGGACTGCGGTTTATATAGGCTGTAAGGGGATAAAATCTTATCAACATACAATCTCCTACAACCAATGACAAAGGGCAGAGTAAATGGTGATAGGATTTTCATATATGAATTGATGCTTTTGGTGACAGGTGTGCTTCTTTGGAGGGGCCACCTGGTGCAATTGATGCTTTTGGAGTAGGTGTCCTCCATTTGAGGGACGACAGGCTTGGTTATGCGAACCAAGGAGGTTATTTAGGCCCACTAGTTTTATTTAAATAGGCCAAACGAATTCAGTCCAGCCCATGGATGTTTTGACCCAAATTGTTCTGTTAAAAACAAGGATTTAATTTCACAGTATATATACATCCTTTAGGTTTTTCATAGTGAAGCGCCAGCGGAGAGGCTAGTTCCTTAGTACTACTTTGGCTACTTAGGGTTAGTTGGCTTGGACAATCACAAGCACGACGATCATGGAAGATGATGAAATCGTCAAAGTGGAAAACAATGAAGATATTAACAACAGTAACGGTTCAACTATTCACAACGTTCACCAAAGTTCAGAGGTAGAAGATGATGATTTTGCCGATCTCTTACTTCTACAGCAAGAAGATATCGAGAAGCTAAGATTCGCTAACACTGAAGAAGCCTATGATTTTTGGAGGAACTATGGGCTGGTCACCGGCTTTGACGTCAGGAAAGAAGATATTGGCCGAGATAAAGACAAGGTCATGATATGGCGTCGGTTTGTATGTTCTGGTCAAGGAACAAAGCGCGACCGAAAGGGTGAACGAAAGAGGGAACCAAAAGGAGAGACGAGATTTGACTGCAAAGCTAGGATTCGTGTACGACTAGACAAGTCAGATGGGAAGTGGTTTGTGGATACCTTTCATAACGTGCACTCTCACGTAACGGTTCCAAAAAAATACCGACACTACATGAAAGGGAATCGACAGTTGAGTGATGCAGTTAAAGCAGCAATCAATTTCCGGCGAGCTTCAGGAATGAAAACATCACAGATTGTTTCACTAGCGGTTGCAGAGGCAGGAGGCTATAGCAAGATGGGGTTCACGAGGAAAGATGCGTATAATTACGTGGACAAAGATCGGAAGGAACAAATTAGTGATGGTGATGCTGCTACAGCACTAGCTTACCTACAGGCGAAACTAAGTGCGGATGAACAGTTCGTAATTGAGCTAAAAAAAGACGATGAAGACAGGCTTGTTAACTTGTTCTGGGCAGATAGTATTTCAGTGGCTGATTATGCATGCTTATGAGAATTATTGGCTTTCGATGCGACTTACAAAAAGAACGTCTACAATATGCCTCTAGTCATTTTTTCAGGTACTAATTCTTTTATTTTCGGTTCATAGTAACTTATATTTTCATTCCTGTAAAGTATAAAGAATTTATTCATTGAAACTTAATACCACACGTTAAAGAGCCTAATGCAATATCACTTCCATGCGTTATGAGTACAGTGTAATTCTTGTCTTATTAGTGAAGTAATTTGAATAACCTGTTTATTTTTTAGGTGTGAACCACCACTTCAACAGTTGCATATTTGGCTGTTCATTTTTGGCAAATGAGAAAGAAGAAAACTATGTATGGGTTCTAGATGCCTTGAGGAGAAGGTTGGGCGGTGTAGATCCTAAAAATGTTGTTACAAATGGAGATAAAGCCATGCGCAATGCAATTTAGCAAGTATTCCCCGATGCAACACATCGTTTATGTGCTTGGCACATGCACAAAACTATTGCCAGAAAAGTGAGGGACAATCCTAACTTCTTGCCACAATGGAAACATTTCGTGTCAGCTGATTGGGAACCTTCAGTATTTGAAGATAAGTGGAAAACAATGGTCGAGGAGTGCTCACAGCAGCATAACAATTGGGTTTCCCATCTATTTGACCAAAGAACTGAATGGGGGTATACATACTTGCGCTCAAAGTTCTTTGCGGGCTTGTCAACAACGTCTAGATGTGAAGGAATGAACTCTCAGCTTACCAAGTATATCGAAAACAAGCATAATCTACTTGAGTTCTTTATTCATTTTGATCGTTGGGCTAGGGATATGAGGGAGATGGAGCAACAAGCTGATTTTGAGTCCATCCATCGTGAACGGACAATAACGTCTAATATATTAGTCTCACTTCAGAAGAGTGCGTCTAAATTATTCACAAAAGAAGCCTTTTTCAAATTCAGAGATGAGGTTGAAAAGTCGGGAGCTTGTGTAAGGATGGATTCAGATATATCGGAAAACTAACGCATTTACAGAGTGACAATGTCAGGTAAACAAAAGGTTTTTCAGGTCACATACACAATTGAGCCCTTCGCTATGGAGTGTAGTTGTAACTATTACCACTATATGGGAATACCATGCGCTCATATGGTTCATCTACTGAAAGAAGAGGGTATGCTGGAACTTCCAGAACGGTTGGTAAAGTTAAGGTGGTCAAAGAAGCCGAAGACACTTGATAGCTTACAACAACCACACAATATGGACGAGGCTAGACTATTCACATTCAGGTTCGTAGTTACTGTATAAAGCTGGAAATTGTGTGTTACTGTGTTTAAGAAAGCAGTTCAGATGTGTTTATTAAATACTAAGGTGGTACCAGAGGGCGTTGGCCCGTTTTAGAACATAAGCTTTCACTTTTTCGTGACGTTTTAATAGAATAATATTGACTGTGGTTTTCAGATATGGGCTTCTTAAACAAAGCAGCTCCCAGTTATGGTTAAAAGGGGCAAAATCAAGCGAAAGCTTCAACCTTGCTCGTACAAGAATTGCATCCCTATGTGAATCGCTAGACATGATGAACGAAGGTGATACTGAGATCCCAGATATCAATAGACCAAAGGCAAAAGAGAAAATTTTGGATCCACATCCTGTGAAATACAAAGGTTCGGGTGGACAAGAAAACAAAAGGAAGAAAGGGGAGCAACGAATGTGTAGCAGATGTGGCGTATTGGGTCATAAAAAAAGCACTTGTAAGAAGCCTCCTGATTATGTGAGGCCTACAATACCAGAACCTACTGATACTGAAACTAATGATGGAGCTGCTGGCCACACAGTACCAAATAATGAAGAACCAAATAGTGAAAACGTCGCCAACAACGGAGCTGACCAGCAAGCACCACAAATTGGCAGAAAACCAAAACATTGCAGTAAATGTGGGAAGGATACTCATAATGCCAGAACTTGTCCAGAGTTATCAGAGGAGGATACTGAAGAGGATGTTGATACAACCGACATCCCTGATCCACCAACTGTAATATTAGAAGTTCATTGTGCATGTCTAGAATACTTTTGGGAAACAATTATTTTCGTTGGAACTAAACTTTATATATTCAATGTTGCAGAAGAAGCCATGTACTACAAGGGAAGGCCTGAGGAGCAGCAAGAAGGCTAGTTGAAAAGATTGGCATGGATTCTAATAACCGGAGACACATTTCGAATCTGGCCATTTGTTTGATACTCTATGGACGAGTTAGGATATTTGATTGGAGGACGTTATGATGTTTTGTTGGGTATTTTCATACTTTCTGGTCCTGGTTGTTCATGTTTTAGGTTCATTAAACTTCTTTTCCAATCAACAATGTATGCCTCTACTTTTGCTGGTCCAGATTATTTTTGTGTTCAGTTCATTATTCTTGTTTTCATTAAGACCTAGCAAACCAAGAAAGGGTATACTTGAAACTTACCGGTGTGCATAAGCGGAGTGGCCCATCTGTCCTCTTCTTGGAAAACCACTGCACGCCCATCTAGCCAAAGAAGGAAACATAAGGAGTGCCAAATCCAAAAATTCCAATTTAGACATTATGATTTGAACCAATTATAAACTACAAACTGAACATTATGAAGTATAAGAGGAACAAGATACCTTTCTAGCTAGCTTAACAAGTGCAACCACAACATCATAAACATCAGTCTCATTTAACAACTCCTTTTCAACATGTTATTTAGCTCCACATGCCTGCACAACAGGTCTATAGTCAGTAACCAATATTTAGATACAATGTCTTCAACCACATGTGCACACACGAAAAACACTTTGTATTGAAAAATATCTAGCTTGGAACTAAACACTAAGCACTAAGCAGAAGAACGAACCTGAGGTCAAAAACCGAGCACAGAGCAAAACCGAGCAACAACCACAGCCACAGGTCTCAAACCACTCTGAACGCTTTGATTACAATCCGAACCGCTTGCCAATGGAAATTAATTGAGGTCAGAAACAAAAATCATCGAGCCTATAATCAAATCAAGAGCAGAGACGAAAAAAATTGAATGGACCGCTTGATTCATTGGATCTGATTACAATCCTCATCGATGGACAATTGAGGACCCGAGAACTTCACTCCGCGTTGGTACAAAGGCTATTTTGTCAAAAATCCAAATCAGTGATAGACCAACACAAATGAGAGAAAGGACGGAGAATTTAGAACATACCTCCATCAGGACTCGCATGCATCAGCGCCACCGTCGATGGGAAGAGAACCCATAACTAAAATCTACAACCCGACCTTTGGCTGAGATTACAATATCTGATTATGAGAAGGAGAAGGAACGAATTGACGATTGTGGGAAGGGTTTGGTTCCACTCCGGCCGGTTGACGAACAAGCAAGGTGAAAGAACGAAATGAAGAGAAGGAAGTCAGAAAGGTAAAGTTGGGTTGGCAATATTTTTATTTTTTTCATAGGGTTGAAAACTAAAATCGTTGAGAGAGGGAAATTTTACGGAAAAAGGGGCTCCAAATGTTCCCTCCTGCACTTTTCGAATTTCTTTTTCCTTTTTCATACGGTGAGAAATTAAAATGGAAAAGGAGAGAATGAAACTTTTAAAAAATGGCTCTAAGATTCACGCTAATTAGTCATTACTAAGGGGTCGTTTGCCGGTTACTTTTGGCTATAGAAGTCAATTGAAAAGTAAACAGAAATTAATAAACCGGAAATTTAACAAGTAGATGGTGTATTAACATGTCACTCCAAAGAAATATGGTCCATTTTAATGAGCCAAGCCGAACTCATGCTCGGCTCTTTTGTGAACGAGCTAATACGATCCAAACACGACCCAACTCATTTATTGAGTTTTGGCTCATCATTTCGATCAAAATTTTGGCTCGAGCTAGCAAACAACTCATTTCATCCTAATTAGTCATTACTAAGGGGTCGTTTGCTTGGTTGAGTAGGATAACAACAAGAAGTTCACTCTTGGAAACGACTCGTATGCGTCAGACACATACGATGCGACAGGATTCTCTAGTTTGTTCGGATATGTTGAAGGAGGATTTGTATGCTTTGTTGTGGTTCCAAGATCATGTGTTTGCTCATCTAGTTTCAGTTTCCGAGGAAACTCATTTTGATTGTAATCGTCCACCTCATGTCAACGTGTCTACAGGGAAAGATTGGAGGGCCTTATTTATGTTTGTCAAGCAAAGAAACTAAATGTAATTCAACCATCACTTCCTTTGCTACGTGCATGTCATTGGAGAAACTCTCCATGGGTGGTCAACTAGGGTGACTCAGCTTGTTACTAGTTTGGTCTATACCCGACCATGAGAGGAAAAATGGGGTGGAAATACATAGTTGCCTCATTACTTTCCACGTGGTTTTGCCATGGGAGTGCACTTGGATGGCTTGGGTGGTATGTAAAAGAAACAAATAATACAAACCACTAGCAAATGATTAATTACTTGAAACGACAATTATACCTTTGCTTGGCTCTCCAACGTGTGGTGAGGGAATAGAGGGCATGATAACTTTGTGTTCTTGATCGGTAAACTATTTTTGGTTAAAGTGTTTAATTAAAAGATGTCGGTTTAATACGGGGTCTATCAAATTTTTTTGGAAGATTAGTCATTAATTTGTTAGCATTAAGTTGGAGATTATCCATTAATTTGCTTCGTTGGGCTTAATCTTTATTATAGCCCAAATCAGCCTCCAAATTTAAGGTCCACATGATTGCAATTGTGAATTGAGCAAAGAAGAATAAAATAAGTAGTTGTGGCGGACAGATTTCATTACAAAATAGGAATGTGATAGAGAGTTTGGACTGAAATCCAGGAAGGATTGTAGGCTAGTCTAAGAGAACATGGAGCCACCAAAAACAACAGACCCAAAAAAAAAAGAAGCAAGGAAAAAAAACACCACCAAACCCCACCACCGACACCCACCATCATATGCGCAACGGTAACAGACACCACCGAAAGAGAAAGACCACATGCAAGAACAAAGGCTAGTAGTGTTTTTAGAATTGAGAGCATAAAATTCAGACATCTGAAGGAACAACCCATTTGCCGTTTAACCAGTCTTGATGTGGCCTCAAATCAGCCTGCTTGAACGTTGTCTTCTCATCATACTCTATAAAGTAAACCACGTAATTGCAGTTGATCAAAACCTTTGCAATCACGCCAACCCACCAGCCCTCGTTGTAGTAAGCATCTACTTCATCCATCACCTTGAATCCATCCACAACAATGATCTCCGGCGGACAAGGCCTTATGTTGCAAGCACGAATGTCTTCTCTGAGAAACTCAGTATCATCATCATTCTTCAGATTTTTGTACTCAATAAGGTACTTGTCTTCACCCGAAGGTTCAATAATTGTTGCAGCAAACCAAGCACCTTTGAAACCGTCTTCGTCATTTGTCACCTCGACTTGCATTCCTTGAGTGAACTTCATCACTTCCTTGGGACAATTTGAGTCTAGCGACATCTGCATGTTTATGAAGCGATTCAACGAGGTTGAGACATTGTGAAAAAGAACAAATGCCATCTCTGATCACCCAATTCTCTACTTTCCTCAGCCTAACTAGATCGAGATTCAAAATTCCCTAAAATTGTTATACCAAGCAACAGAGCAGGAAAAGTCATAAAATCGAATTAGCTCACCTCTTTCTCCCGCTGAACCTGTTCGAATCGCGGCTCCCACTTCCCTTTAACCCACTGAACAGGCAACCTCAAATCTTTCTCTTCAAATACAATATGCTCCTTTGAGCCTCTGAAGAACGCCACGAATTTCCCGCCGGAGTGCTCCGCAGTAATAGCCCCTTCCCACCAGCCGTCGCTGTGGAAAGCCTCCACTTCGTCGCCGAACTTGAACTGGACCTTCTTCTTCTCGGGAGGCGGCGGCGGCGGACGCAATTGGATCCAATCGAGGATTTCTTGCAGCAGCTTCTCCCCAGATTCGTCCTCGTAGAGCTGGTCGTACTCGACTACATAACGATTGGTGTTCTTCGCCTCGCGGCAGACGACGGTGCCGGCGAACCAGGAGCCGCGGAACCTGGGGTCGTCGGAGCTGATCTCGACCCGGTCGCCCGGTTTGAATTGGGCGATCCACGAAGAAGATGGGTTCGACTTCGACATTTGCAGAATTGCAGGTGAAGACACGGATGGAAGCGGGGTGATTTTGAGAATTTTGGCGGGTATGAGAATAATATGTTGTACATCAATTTATACCCCAAAGAGAAAGGGAATGGGAAAAGACTCTGTTCATTTATACCCCAAAGAGAAAGGGAATGGAGGGAATGGGAGAAGACTGTTCTGCTAAACTTCTCGGCGAAGGTTTGCCAATCCCGATAAACTACCTTGGTTCCCTCGCTACTTTATTGAGACATATCCAATCTCCTCAAGTGGGATACCCCATCAACTGAATAATACCTGAATCCTTGCATGTCGTCAATATGAGAGAGAGAGAGAGGCGATAGCGGTTCCGTGTTAAAAACCGACGAGTAGAGAGAGAGAGAGTCGACGATTCCATCGATTGGAGACAGGTGGAAGATTGTTTTTTTTTCTTTTTTTTTTTTTTTTTGACGAAATCAGTTTCATTAAAACTGGGAAGGAGTACAAAGTATGGGCAAGCCCAAATGAAGAGAACAACAATACAGATAAGCAATTCAAAAGCCCACCCGAAAAGCCCAAGTGCCACACATAACACAGAGAGCCCAAAGTAGACAAATCAAAACCCTAGCTGCCATTGCAACCTTGCCATGCCGCCGCTGCCGCCGGGAAAAGCCTGGAATACCATCGTCAACCGCAACTCCACTCAGAGACCTAGACCGGGAAAATTGAAGTCAAGTGAAAATTGAAGGTTTGCCGGTTACTTTTGGCTATAGAAGTCAAGTGAAAAGTAAACAAAAATTAATAAACCGGAAAATTGACAAGTTGATGGTGTATTATCATGTCACTCCAAAGAAATATGGTCCATTATAATGAGCCAAGCCGAACTCATTCTCGGCTCTTTTATGAACGAGCTAATACGATCCGAACACGACACAAATCATTTATTGAGTTTGGGCTCATCATTTCGATCAAAATTTTGGCTCGAGCTGGCAAACAACTCATTTCATCCTAATTAGTCATTACTAAGGGGTCGTTTGCTTGGTGGAGTTGGATAACAACAAGAAGTTC